AATGATATTAGGAATACATTAAAATGTCTCTTCTTAAGATTGTTTTTTTGTTTGTTTGTTTGTTTGTTTGTTTGTAGAGACAGGGAGTCTGGTCATGTTGCTCAGGCTGCTCTCAAACACCTGTCCTCAAGCAATTTCCCCACCTTGTCCTCCCAACGTGCTGGGATTACAGGTGTGAGCCACTGCACCTAGCCTTACGATTGGTTCATGACTGACTTTTGAATCTTAAAATAGGATCCATATAATTTTCTCATTCTTACAAGTCACTCACTGTTCATATTTTGCCTATTTTGCGTACACATATTGTTTCTCAGGGTGCTCTATTAACTGTTTACCTTTCCCTAGGGGAAGGCTGGTAGCTTAGCTGTTCTGATTCTGTTTCACCTATATCTTAGGACACAAATGTTTCTAGGAAGTAGAGCTCCCAAATCAAGCAGAAGAGGCAGCTGATGCCTCCCCTTCTTCCCCACCTGCAGTTCCCATCGTCATAACCTGGCAAAGCAGTCATAGCCTGGGAAAGCAGTACTTACAGAGGAAATTAAAGCTCTACTCAGAACTGAGAACATTTCCAAGGTCAGCTACAAAGAAGAAAAGTGGAAACCCTTTTAGAAGACTCCCAGATTTGTAACCCGGGAGGATGCAGGATACAGGAGTGAGTTGTTCTGGGAGGGGAGCCTGGAGCTGGGAGAATACTGGTCTGTGTAGCCCTACGATGGAACAGCCTCATGAAATGAGTTTTCCTTCAGTGAGTGGCCATGTTGGAGGCTTGCATCTCATTCTTGGACCCGAGTTACTTGGATCTGACTTTGGAAGAACAATTGATAGGGCGGGGAGGGATTAGAGGCTATAATCTCCTTTTCCTAACACCCCAAAGCCCCCTTGCAGGCAAAAATTCTACTTGTAACACTTTCTTGGCTTAATTGGTAGCATCTATATTTATTGAAAGGCAATCAAGAGGCCTTCTGCATAACAATACAGTATTATTAATAATAATAAGTAGAAAGGCCAATGTATGTGTAGAACCAAGCCCTGTACTCATCCTTTACCTGGATTCCCTTTTTTTTTTTTTTTAATTTTTAATTTTTTTTTTTCTTGAGACAAAGTCTCAGGCTGCCCAAGCGAGAGTGCAGTGGTGTGAGCTTGGCCCACTGCAGCCTCCACCTCCCGGGTTCAAGTGATTCTCCTGCCTCAGCTTCCTGACAAGCTGGGATTACAGGCACCCACCACCACACCCAGCTAATTTTTGTATTTTTAGTAGAGACAGAGTTTCACCACGAGGCTGGTCTCAAACTCCTGACCTCAAGTGATCTGCTCGCCTTGGCCTCCCAAAGTGCTGGAATTAACAGGTGTTGGCCACCACACCTGGCCGGATTCCTTTATTTTAATCCTCACAGCAGCCCTATAAATTTAGTAGTACAATCATTTCAAATGGATAGATGAGGACACTCAGGTTTAGGGAAATTTAATAACCCGTTCATGGTCACATAGCAAAAGGCAGAGTCAGGATTTGAAAACAAGCGCCTGACTCTGATGGTCGTGCTTTTTACCACCACTCTTGTGAACATTCATGGTAAACCTAGATATTTTGAAATAAGGGTGAGCAAAGGGCTTAAAGTTGTTTTTATCTATTAAATACTCTGTCCTATCATTTTACATATTAATATATTTGGTTTAAAATGTATGTTTTACTTATATTGACAGAGCTCATGTCTCTGAGAGATATTGTAAACTCCATTCACAGGTATTTAATGCTTTTGCCTTTAAGTGAGTGATGTACTCATGTAGACACTGAAATATAAACAACCCATCAACTAGAATGTTTACTCTTCAGTGCTCCGAAGATTATTCTACTTGTGACTATAATTCTGTACTCAGTTTATAACATTCTTGCAGAGATGTCAGGATGTGTGTGTGCGTGTGTGTTTATTATGAATAATATTATTTCCTTGTGGGTGTGAATTTCATCCTCTCTGTGATTCCTGTGCCCTAACCATATTGCTAGGCAACACCAAGCAACACGCATCCCACATTTTCCTAATTCCTTTTGATGTTTCACAAATGGACCTTTGCTTTTATCTGCAAGCAGAATAACACCAGTGGGTTTAGGATTTTGGCTTTTTAAGTAATCAGGTGTCCGGTGAGATCAAAGCTAAGTGACCATAACTATCAGAAACTGGCAGAAAAAAGGAAGAGCTGGCATGAAGCAAATGCACATATTTGTTTTAAGACTTTGGCTGATGATTCGTTAGTGAAGTCTAATGTGATTTCTGCCATTCTGACTTTGTAGATGACATCAAGGACAGTGAGTAGGTGGGCTTCCTTCCAAGGACTTAAAGTCCTCCTAGGGCTTGGAAGGTAATTGCATATGAAATACTCTTTCTGACACTAGAAATGTCGCACACATATCATTTTCCAGATGAAAATCAGATGCCCATCTCCTCTGTCAAAACAGAAACCAATATTTTCAGGTCAAGATCCAGAATCTGGAAGGTGTAATGCACAGACATCACATCACAAGCTAAAGTGCATTTACAGTTGTCCTGCCTTCTATGTGTAGGGAAAGGTCAGAGAGAGGCCTCAGTGGGCATGGAGAATGCCAGAACTGGGCCTACAGTGGACAAGGGCTCAGCACTTCATCACCACAAAAAAGATCATTTGGTTTTCCCCCATCCACTCAAGCCAAGCCACAGAGAACCACAGGAAGCAAGACTGACGAGTTTCCACACTGCTGACTGACAGTATTTGAGAAGTTGTGCTGCCCAAGTCAGAAAGCCCCATGATGGCACTCTAACACTCAACCTGTGAAAGTAAATATATTATAATACCTTACTCGCAGGCTTGGGGAAGAGAACATTTTGCCAGATGGGAGATGAAACAGAAATGGGGCCACTGATAAGAAATGCACTTGTGGGAAAATATGATTGTATTAGTTATCGATGGCTGTGTGACAAGTCTCCTGCACCCCACCCCACCCCACAAAAAAACCCTGTTGTCAGTTTAAAATAATATTAAGCATTTACTACTTCACTCAGTTTCAACAGACCAGAAATGGAGGAGTGATGCAGCTTGGTGGTTCTGTCTCAGGATCTCTTATGAGGTTGCAGTCCAGATGTCAGCCATGGCTGCAGACATCTGAAGACTTGCCTGGGATTGGAGGAGCCATTTTCAACAGGGTTTACTCATGTAACTGGCAAGTCAGTGCTGGTGATTGGCAGGAGGACTCAGCTGCTCACCATGTGGCCCCCAAGCATCCTGGTAACATGGCAGCTGGTTTCCCCAGAGCAGACAAGCCAAGAGAGAGCAAGGGAGAAGCCACAATATCTTTGACAGCCTAGTGTTGGAAGCCACGCTCCATCATTCCCACAATATCCTATGGGTTCTACAGGTGAGCCCTACTCAGTGTGGGAGGAAACTACCTAAAGGCATGAATACCAGGAGGGGAGAATCACCAAGGGCTCTCTTGAAGGCCGGCTACAATAATGATGGAAACATTTCTGTGCATTCATCACTGAGAAGAAATTCATGTATTGGTTGGGTGATGGATGGCACTCTGTCACGGGTCTCAATGCAAGCTGCAAGCCAGTGCCTGCATTGGAATCATCTGGGGCCACTTTTTAAAGCACTGGTTTCCCTGCGCCCTACCCGGGATATTCTGATTAAGTCAAAGATGATGCCCTGGTTTGGGAATGACTGGATTAGATGATCTCTAAGGTCAAGTCCAACCTTAACAGTCTTCCTCAGACTTACATGATCATAGGTATCACCCAGAGAATTTATTAAAAATACAGATTTTTTAGGCCCCACCTCCAGCTTCATGAATCAGAACATCCAAGGATGGGCCTCAAAATCTGTGTATTTATTTATTTGTTTATTTAAGAGACAGAGTCTTGCCAGACTGGAGTGCAGTTACTGCAGCCTTGAATTCCTGGGCCCAGGTGATCCTGCCATCCTACCTTCCTAAATAACTGGGATTACAGGCATGTGTCACCACACCTGGCTCATTTTCAAAATTTTGTGGTTGTTGAGACGGAGTCTTGCTATGTTGCTCAAGCTGGTCTTGAACACTTGGACTCAAGTGATCCTCTCACCTTGGCCTCCCAAAGCACTGGGATTACGGGCATGAGCCACTGTGCCCAGCCTGTGATTTTGTTTAATTTTTAAATTTTTTGACCAGGTCATACATTTAAAATGATGGGAAATTCCAAAAGATATAAAAGAGTGTCATTATAAAGTCTCTTTCCCAACTTTGTTCTCTCAGTATCCCAATTCACGTACCTGGAGGTGCTCAATGTTGTTGGTTTCTTGTGTATTCTTATGAATAAATAAGACATATAAAGAATCACCTAGGGCTCTCTTGAAGGCCGGCTGCAATACTGATGGAAATATTTCTGTGCACACAACACTGAGAAGAAATTCACCTATCAGTTGGGTGATGGATGGCACTCTGTCACGGGTCTCAATTTCTTGTGTATTTTTTTTTGAACTCAAGGCAAATCAAAAGGGTATGCAGTGAAAAACAAGTTTATTCCTGGTTCTGATCACCAGTTTTTTCCTTCAGATTCACTTTTACCAGTTTCCTGTGTGTCTCTTTAAGAGACAGGACGCTGTTAGTCTGTCAAGCAACTCAGGTGATTCTTATAATCTGGGGTTTGGGACACCCCAGTTCTGTAACGTAAGTTATAATAGAAGCTGAAACAGCTGGAAAACCTCACCTGGTTACACATGAGCTGCACGAAATGCATTAGATTCTATCTGGATGTCTTAGTTACATTTGTTCATGTAATCATTATTTACCAAATAATGATTATTTACCAGGCCAAGTCATTATTTGCCAGGCCAAGGCAACCATGAGCAATGAACCCAGCTCACGGGAGCTTGCTGTCTAACACAGAAAACAGCTATCTCCATCTGTAGAGGTGCGTACAGGGCGCTGCGGAAGCTCCTTGGCACCAGAAGTGAGTGGACGCTTCTGGAAGGAAGGGATTTCCACAGAGGTAAAAATGGTGAGGAGGTGGGGCTCATTGGGCAAATGGAGATGACGACATTCCCGGCAGAGAGAAAAGGACAAATACAAAGTTCCCAGGTTTTGATCCGGTACGCTGCTCTCAGGCAACCAAAAAGTAGAGCGTTTTGGTGTTTGTGCACAGAAGAGGCTCAAGATAAAACGAGGTAAACTGAGGTCAAAGTAAGATAAGGAAAAAACACGATGGCTCTGAATATCAGATATTAAGTTTGGGAATGCTATGATCAGCGTGGGGCGGGGGGGGGGGGGGAAACTGATGTGGGTGTAAAAAAAAAGGACTAGAAGGGGGCTGGGCATGGTGGCTCATGCCTGTAGTCCCAGAACTTTGGAAGGCCAAGGTGGGAGGTTCACTTGAGCTCAGGAGTTCAAAACCAGCCTGGACAACATGGCAAGACCTCGTCTCTACTAAAAATACAAAAATTAGCGAGGCATTGTGGCGCACGCATGTAGTTCCAGCTACTCGGGAGGCGGGAGGATCCCTGGAGCCCTGGAGGCTGAGGCTGAAGTGACCAGTGTTTGCTGCACTGCACTCCAGGTTGGGTGACAGAGTGGGACCCTGTCTCAAAAAAAAAAAAAAAAAAAAAAAAAAAAAAAAAAAAAAGACTAGAAGGAAGTGGTAACAACTTGGAGGTGGGAAGATAATTTAGGAAGTTGTTATCAAAATCCAAGAAAGAGACCAGAATAGCCTGGATTAGGTGGCCATTGTAGGGATGCACAGAACTGGAAACACTTTGAAGTTATTAAAGAGGTAAATTCACCTGGACTTGGTGATTGATTGAAAAGGGCTGCAACTGGGACATTCCCAAATTTCCAGCATGGGCAACCAGCTGCGTTTCAATAGGGAATACCTGCGAGAAAGTGCTCGGGGAGGAGGCACGTGGGAGGGTGAAGGGTAAGTCTAACATTCTGAGTTTGAGGAAGAGAAAATACGTGGGTAAATTAAAGTTTAGAGTCCAATAGAAAAATAAGAGCCTGTTTGTGACGGCCCACGGCAGGACAGGCATCTTCTAATTTCTCTTTAAACCTTAATTAGTTTTCATCTCTGCCCCCCATCCCCACACTCTCTTGCCCACCATAAAGCAGATTGGCACTGACAGTCTCTTTAACCTTCTCCACGGGTTGCAGTGGAAGGGATGAACGAAGGTCCTGCCCTCCAAGCAGCTGCATTCACAAAATTCCGAATCTGGCCAATAGTGTATTTGGTTCTGTAAAAAGATTTTTTTTTTTTCCCCTGAGGCAGGGTCTCACGATAGTGCCCAGGTTGCTCAAAGATAGTATTCCCAAGATGGTTATAAACAGTTTCATGTTTCCCAGAATCAAAAACCGGACTCTAAATTCACTTTCTTTATTGCTTTAGTCTAGGTACTGATGAGACCTCTTTATTATTACACTGGCAACTGACTGCACTGCGGATATGTTTGGAATAAGGTAAGCCTGCAGCCACGGTTTTTATGGCTTTTGGAGTTTTGGCCAGAATGAACAGAGCTTAAGCAAATTAGATATTTGAAAATACCTTTGTTTTGTTCCATGAGCACCCGCCAGAGGCCTTTTAAATTGTGATGGTGACTCACAAAATAAGATCTTTGCTATTGTGCAGAGAAATCTGAAGAATTTTATCCATTCTTTCGTTCTTGCTAAATGGTGCATTGTATGCTATCTGTGTGGTTTGGGTCTAGGACAGATTTCTCTCTGAACTTCACAGCATGGGTGGAAGAGAGTAATTTGGCCTTTCGTTTTCTCTGGCAGCCGGTGCCAGTCCATTTATATGGTATGTTCACAGGAGAGCTGACAAGTGTTGAGAGGTTTTATTTGATATGCATTTTTTTTTAAAGTAGAAAAAAATCCGTAAAAATAGGTACTTGTTAGCTAGTTTTCCTAGTTAGTCTTCAGATCATAACCAAATGTTTCATTAAGGAGTTCCACCTCAAATAGACGAGCTACATTGACTTATCTGGGCTGTGTTTAATATTCACAGTGTAACCATTCATGGCATGGGCAGTTTTTAATGATAGAAATGCAAACCCACATTATTTTTCTGTGTAACTTGTAAAAGCCGTGCCTTCTAAAATGGGGCTGCTTATGCTAATTTGTTATAGTTAGTGAATTGCAGGCAGCTCTGTGAATTTACTTTTCTTGGCAGTTCTAGAATATCCTGCCATAACACATACTGAAAAACTGTTTGACGGGTTATGAAAATCTGGATGTACTAAAGGTACATCTTGTGCAAACCATAAAATAAATACATGATTACATTTTTAAAAATCTGTTATCAGGTTAAGGAAGTTGTCATTATAACAACCCAAGGAGAATTAAACAGTTTTGAATGGATGATATACTTTTTCCATTTGTACATACTGTAAATGCTTTTAGTATCCAACCCTCGCTCTATTTTGCTGGTCTTTATGAAAAGACTGCCTACTGGAGGTAAACTGTATTTCATATAGGTCATATAGAACCTATCTTGGAAGTGGATAACACCTCATTGCAAAGGTTAATTAATATTCTCAATAAAGCATAAAAATTGTCAGAATTATTTGATACAAAATATATTTTGAAATTTTTATTATTTTTAGTGAAGCCAGCAATGTTCTATTACTTCAAGGATGTTGATTATGGGGTCTGTCAATATTAGTGTTGCCAGTGATGTGTGATTGCTTAATTCATGATAAATGAATTAAGTATGTAATTTGGTTCTATACTGTGTTAGCTATATACCAAACCAACTCCTTTGAAACGGTCTCTAATCTCAAGGAGCTTGTAATTTTAATAGATGTTAAGAAGACAAAGACAATTCATTTGTTCAACAAATATACTGCATAGTGAGAATTTACTATGTACAAGACAATTCATTACATTTCTTGGGGCATGGGGACTATAACTACGGTGAATAGGAGAGATTTGGTTCCTGTCCTTGAATTCTACCAGAAGACAAACATGAAACAACAAATAACACAATTACTTAATAATTATGTGAAGTGTTCCAAAAGACATCTACAGGGTGGACTGAGGATGTATAATGAAGTGAAAGAACAAACTTTTTAAAAGGGAACTCCTGAAGGTTAAATTGTGTTTGCGATGAACTGGAATAAAACGTTAATCATGTCAAAGAAAAAAAGATTTCTTGTTAAATACAAAGTAAATGAAGAGTCGAAAGATCGCTAAAAGAAATGTGGTGTTGTTTGGTGAGAATCTTATTGTTTGGTCAGGAAAATATCCTTGCATGCACTGAAGACAACATCTTACCACTTGAAGGAATGATTTTTCATCCTAGGATAAAAGTAGGATTTTATATTCCACTTTAAGAGGAAAAATAGATAAGAAATGCAGATGGCCAATTAACTTCTTTAGTAGAACTTCATGCACGTGATAAAGAACAAAACTTTAACAAAAAAACTTTAACACGTTTATATGCTCATAAAAACTTCAAATTGATTAAAATTCTTCAGTGACAAGGTTAGGGTCCTTGATCAGTGAATGTTCTCACATATTTCTAAGCAACATAGAAGGGTTATATTTGAGTAGAAGTATAAAGACAGAATTATACAAAGAAAGCCTAAATTGAGTAAGAAGTGTCAAGAATATGATTAATTTTTGTAACCTACTCTTTCAGTAATGAATTTCAACCAAACCTAATTAATCTTACATTTCTAGCACAACATATGATTTTAGAGAATATGTCATTAAAGAGATACATAATCAGAAGTAAAGTAAATATCATCTAGGCTTAGATTAGGGAATAATATTGGTTTTGATTTAATTTTGAACAGGTAATATGCATATTATTGAAAATTTAAAAATTGTTTCACAACCCTGTTCCCCATCTACCTAGTTCCCAACCACCCTAGACACACACAGCTGCACACCTGACGTTCTTTTCTTTTTTCTTTTTCTTTTCTTGAGGTAGGGTCTCACTCTGCTGCCCAGGCTGGAGTGCAGTAGCAGTATCACGGCTCACTGCAGCCTCAACCTCCCAGGCTCAAGTGATCCTTCCACCTCAGCCTACTGAGTAGCTGGAACTACAGGTGTGCACCACCACGCGCAGCTAATTTTTATTTATTTATTTTTAAGGGACGAGGTCTTATTGTGTTGCCTAGGCTGATCTCAAACTCCTGGGCTCAAACCATCCTCCCCCAGGGTTGGCCTCTCTAAGTGCTGGGGTTATAGGTGTGAGCCACCTGGCCCTGATGTTGTTATGTGTACATGTAAGCATAGTTTTTTAGCACATACCAACAAATCTTTTTTTCTCAGGTAGTATTGGGTTGATACAAATCTTAATACAGTGTTTCTTGTCTCTTTTTATGCAAAAGGTAGCATACTGCAGACACTGTTGTGCCGTTGCTTCCTCCCCACCCACTTAATATTATTTATTTCTTGGAGATCTTTCTAAATCAGTACGTGGACCCTTTCCCTTTCTCCTTATTTACAACTATACAGTATTCCACTATATGGAGCTACTATAATTTATTTAACTAGTCTCCAACTGATGAATATTTGTGTTGTTTCCAGTAAACATTTCTGTAGTGAATAATCTTATGTAGGGTCATTTCACAAATATATCCGTGGAAGTAGAATTGCTAGCCAAAGGAATAATTAGTAATTTTTGTAGATATTGCCAAAATGCCCTACATAAAGTTGATAGTAACTTAATGCATTTAACAGTAATACATAACAATATTTTCCATTTGATGTCATCAAACTTTTTTTGTGTGTGTGTGAACAAATGAAGAAAAATGGTATCTCATTTTTCCCATTGTTTTTCTCTCATGCGATTTTCTATTGGGTTCTTTGTGTTTTTCTTCTCAACTTAAGCTCTTTTGTATTAGGAAGATAAGACCTTTATTAGTAGTATGAATTACAAATATTTTTATCTCATCTTATTTGTCTTTGACTTGCTTAAGGTGACTTTTGCCACAGAAATTTTGTTTTTATATACCTGAATTTACCAATATTTTCTTTTATGGCTTTTGGATTTGACTCATAATTTAAAAGGTCTACCATATTCAAGGTCATTAAGAAAGTATCCTGTTTTTCCCCTAGATCTTGGGTAGGTTTTGGTGTTTACCTTTACATTTTTTATTCATTTGAAATTTGGCCTGGTATAAGATAGGCTTAACCCTAGAATGCTGCCTAGGTAGCTCAGTATCAAATATTGAACTATCCCTGTTTTCATTCCACACTGATTTATAATGCAATTTTTACCCCACATGTATTTGGATCTATTTCTGAACTTTCTTTTTTTTTTTAACATACATATTTTTACATGTTCCAACTCTTAGAAATGTTCCATTCTGTTTCTGTTTTTAGGCTCCTTTTAGGTACCTGCCGTGCTTAATTTTTTATTTTAAACATGGTTTTTCCTGTTAACAAAGTTTGCATTAGTTGCTTCCTTGAGCAACACCTTTAGAAATTTAAATGTGTTTGAAATGATGTGAAAATATTATTCATATCAGAGCTAATTCTGCAAAAGCTGAAATCTTGTGGGGAAAAAAAAATCTATTTCAAGCGAAATCCCCTAAATCCCAGGGAACCTCCGTATACTCAGACCAGAAATATTTTTTGATTCTACATAATGTATTTTAAAGGGATAAATGGATCAACTGGGCAGAGAGTTGGAAGAAGGTGTTTTAGCTCTGCTTCTCAATCTCCCAGTGTGATCGCCGGGACACTTCACCGTAAGTTGCATTTATTATAGGGCAGTTTTGTCACTTAAAAAAATATTTTTAATTGGAAACAGCAAGCTGGTTATATAATTGTAATTGCAGGATTATAATGAAAATATCAGGCCTGCAGGTTTTACATAATCACATGCAAAGTCATGTGCGAGAGTGGAAAAAGGGAAGAACAGAGATATGTCTGATTATTTACTCTCTGTGGGGTGTACACAGATTATTTCTGGTGCAATTTAATCTGGAAGATTATATAGCTGAGAATAAGAGATCAAATAGATATCCTTGAGACACCAGAATCTCATGAGTCAGTTGCAAACATCAGGCATGTAGCCTGCACTTGATACTGGATAACTTGCTCATGTTTTATTCCTGAGTTTCCTTAAGCAATGTCTGTTCGAAAAGCTTGAAGTTAGTATTCGTTTAAACAGGGAAGCACTGGAACTAGCTGGCATTCTGTAAATGAAATCAATGTAACGGGAACTTTGAATCGTTTTTTCCTTGATTATTTTGCTAGGTTGTCACTATAAATGGCCAAATCCTAAATCAACTCTTTCACCCTTCCCAAGGAGGTCATCAACACTAGCATTTTACAGTGTTTAATGAATTATTTTCCAAACATACATTAAGTTTGCTGTAAACAAGGGTATTTATAAGAATATCATGACTATTTGACATTTAGGTAAGAGTTATGTAGTACTCTAGAAAAAAGAGAAAGCAATTTTAGTACTATCAGAATCTGGAGCAGAACTTAGTCTTGGGTGGAGCTTACATATGAAATTGAAATTTAAAAAGAAATCCAAGTTACTCTCCAAGTTTTGGACAGGGTATTTTTATTCTTCAGAATATCGATCCTGAAATTAGAGTGAATACATCAAAAGTGCGTGTTTAATTTCTTCAGTGGAAACATAAACTCATCCCTTGGGGAAAAATATTACTAATTGTACATTGAATAGTTTTTGCCCATAAATAGCAACATGTATAAATGCAAATGCATGAAGTCAAAATTAATTTTAAATACTTCCTCAGTAAATGTATAGGTCTTTATTAATAATCTAAAAGAAGGAAAAAAGGCATTACTGAGAAAATCTCCAATTTTTTTTAAAGTTTATTAATTGTGAGCATTGAGTTACTTTCTTGTATGACGTGATTGACCCATATGTGAATTTTTTCTAAGAATAAGGAAATGGGTGAATCAAAATTGGGACTAGAAGGTTGGATGATTTAAATGCTATGCTTATTTAAATGTTCTATTCTCTCAAAATAGTACATCTTTGGGCTTGCTTGCACAATAGTGAAACAACCTACTTGAGGTAACTCACAATAATCCCAATACTTTGGGAGGCCGAGGTGAGAAGATGACTGGATCCCAGGAGTTTGAGACCAGCCTGGGCAATATAGCAAGACCCCATTTCTCCCCCCACCCCCCCCAAAAAATCATTGGACTAAGGTGGAAGGAGACAGAGCAGCTGTAAAGTTGCTAGTATGAGGGACAAGAATTAATGTAATGGTGGGCAGCAGGTGATAATTCTGTGGCAAAGCAACAAAAGCAGGGATTACAATTTATTTCTGTTTATAACCATCAACGCCTAGTTTGGCTTTCATTGTTTGCTGATTTTGTTGCCTGGGCAGCATGAATCTCTCTGATTCCCTTTTAGTGGTTCTTCATGAAGCCTACATGTGAGAAATGAAAACTGAAAATACATTTTTTAAAAGGGAAAATAAAACTGGTATAAAATCAAATTACTCTGGCTCATGTATAATAAAATACAATTACATTAATCCTTTTCTAAGTATTTCATTCTAGGGTTTGTGGATTTTTTTTTGTAATTAATGAATTTACTAAGCACTTTCTATACTTAAGGGAATGACTTTGTCTCTATTTTTTAGGCAAATTATTTTGTGTGGGTGACAAAATGTATGTTCCCTTGCATGTAATATTTAAGTGTGTATTAAATGTCTAATATGACTCAGGTCACAAAATTTCAGACACAACGACAACATGAACTGTCAGCTCAGGAAAGTTTGTTTATTTGTGTTTGAGATGGAGTCTCACTCTGTCGCCCAGGGTGGAGTGTGATGGCATGATCTCAGTTCACTGCAACCTCCGCCTCCCGGGTTCAAGCAATTCTCCTGCCTCAGCCTCCCAGGTAGCTGGGATTATAGGTGCCCACCACCACTCCTGGCTAATTTTTATATTTTTAGTAGAGACGAGGTTTCACCATGTTGGCCAGGCTGGTCTCGAACTCCTGACCTCAGGTGATGTGCCTGCCTTGACCTCCCAAAGTGCTGGGATTACAGGTGTGAGCCACCGTGCCTGGCCAAGAAAGTTTTTCTGAAAGAGACTAGTCAGTTTTTTTCTCTCCTTCTACATATTGCCTATATTTTTCCAGGAATCAGAGAATTGGATTATTGATGCTTAGATAGGGATAAAGGACAGGACTTACAGGATTCAGGAATTTTTTACTTAATCTCGGATGACTACTTAACATGTCACTGGGGGCACTTTGAAGGTGTGGGGTGTTTGTGTGTGTGTTTCACACCAATCTTTTTTTTTTTCCCCTAGAACTTTTCTTTCCTGAGTTACTGGCTGAAGATGCCATAGAGGGAAGCCCGGTGGTACAGAGAAAGGCTGGGATTAGGTCTGAACGACAAAGCAGTGGTTTCAGAGGATTCATTGCAGCCTCTGGATCTGGGGATGGGCCTTATAGGTGACAGCCTGTCTAGGGAAGCAATTGGAAAGTGCCATTCCTCTGATTCTTCTGTAGTTCACGAGCATGACGATTGGGTTTTCATGACATGTGTGAGATGTGCCACCCCCTGAACCTTGTGCCCACATTGGCACATTACCCATCTAACCTAAAAAAAAAAAAAAAAAGTTGCTCCTCTCAGGTGTGAATGCAGTTGAAATCAGAAGGGAAATCAATATAGCAGAGAAATGACAAAACACCTTGGTTTTCCGGAGTAATGGGGTGAGGGGCACATGCTTTGAAGTCATGGTGAGATTCTTTCATCTCTGAATATCTTACCTAACAGGCTCCCTGGATTCTTTTTCTGCTCTTTGGAATCTCATGGTTTATGTCTGAGATTGCTTCTTTCCAACCATTACTAAAAGCACAGAAACAGACATTCTTGACTGCTCATTTCTAGTAATAATCTTTTAAACGAGAGCCTCTCATGTTCAGAGTCCAGTCTCCTGCATACTACTCACATTTCTGCCTCAAATGTCCCTCTAAAGTCCAAGGTGCAACTCTGAATTCTAGGAATTCTCCGACCCTTTGCTGTATTTCCAAAATGAACATTTGCCAGAATAAATTCTCAGGTCAGTCTCAATAAATAAATATATTCTAAAGCACCCTATGAAAACTGTTACACTATGGGAATCTTTCTTCTAGATCTGGATTTTCTAGAAATGAATCTTTAGTAATGTGAGCAAATTTAGAGTCTCGAGGTGTCTGCCAAATCTTACCTATGTCGAGCATTTTGTGGCTAATCTATTCATTTAATTTTTCTTACAATTCTTTTTTTTTTTCTAATTATAGCTGACAAGCTATGACAACATGCTATGGTCAACATGTCACTTGACCCTCCTTTAATAAATATCGCAGTGCGAACAGTGTGTGCATGGTGCTAATATATTTTATTCTTCCTCTGAGAAAAGTGTTATAATGACCTTACTTTTTGGGGGAGAAATGTGGGTTACTGCTTATTCAACATGCTTTTGGGTTTGACTTGCTATCACATGTTTTCTTCTTTTAATCTAGACTTTTATGTATTTTCTGCATTTTCTTCACTGACCATATATTTTTGGCATATATTACTATCATAAAAATCATCTGCATAAAAACATCTTGCCCTCACCAAAATCAATAAAAATGGAAACTTTAAAAGTGATATATGAACACACACACATATAATTTTTTGTTTGTTTTGTTTTGAGACAGAGTCTTCCTCTGTCACCAGGCTGGAGTGCTGTGGTGCGATCTCGGCTCACTGCAACCTCCGCCTCCTGGGTTCAAGCGATTCTCCCATCTCAGCCTCCTGAGTAGCTGGGACTACAGGTGTGCACCACCACACCCAGCTAATTTTTGTATTTTTAGTAGAGACCGGGTTTCATCATGTTGGCCAGGATGGTCTCGATTTCTTGACCTCGTGATCTGCCCTCCTCGGCCTCCCAAAGTGCTGGGATTACAGGCATGAGCCACGGTGCCCAGTCACATAATGTAATTTTTAAGTAAAGATTCAGAGAAAAGAAGTTTTAATAATAGTGAGAGCTGATGTTTGCCTAGGACTTTACCATTTGATAGTTGTTTTTATATATGTTATATTAGAGGTATAATAGTTTAGTATCTGAAGTCAGACAGCTCAAATCTTGGCTCTGCCACTTACCAGATATGGTTTGGGCAAGGTATTGACCTTCTCTAAGCCTCAGTTTTATCTCTGTACCTGTTTCCTAAGGTTATTATGAAGATTTGGTGGGACAATGCATAGAATGTGCTTATAGGGGCTAGATTATGCCAAATGTTCACTTCACATTACTTACTGTCTTTTTCTTTTAAACCACAACACTCTTATGAAAAAGTAGGGCATGTGGGATTATTTTTACTTTACCAAAGAAGAAAATAGTGTTCAGAGAGATTAGGTGAACGACAAGTAATTCTTTCATTTTAAATTGAGTTTCCATTGCAGTCTTAATGGCAAGACTGGAAAAGGGAATCCAGTGAGTTCCCTGGGCCCTTTCCTTAGGGTGGAGCTAACACACAGGGAATGTGAAACACCCGCTGAGCCACTCTTGTGGGGTTAGAACCCCCAAAGATCTGGTACCGTCAGATATTCTATATAGTCACATAGCTAATGGCTTCAAGTTCAACTTGAGCTGAATGTTAATAGGGTAGATTCAAATCATTTTTCACTGTTTTGAGGGGCTTGGAGTGGGGAGGTGATGAAGAACAATTGTAATAACTCCAGTAACTTTCTCATTTCTAAATGCAAATTACTTCTCTGAGAATTTCTGTGTGTAGGTAGCCTGTGAAAGCTACTTTCAAGGCTCAGCTTCCTTGGTTAATGTAGCTTTGCTAAAGGGGCATACAGGCCTTCACACCATACAGTGCTGGCTGGCCCTAGTCTTACTTGGCTGGGAGATATGTTGATCCAGTGGCTTTATGTGAGGCTTATCTTTTAGAGCTACTTGAAAAGTAATGCCTCCCATCAGCCTGTAACAAAGATGCACTCTGCCATTTCTTCCTAGCAATTACATTTTCTGTTCTAAATTAATGTCACCTCACAGCATTCTTTTACCATTCTTTGGCATTTAATCCAATTTTCTTCTTCCTAACAAACAATTTTAAAAACAAACTCATTCCTTTTAAAATGAACTGAAATGTTCAAATGTTTCCTAGGAACGCGTTCAGTCCTCATTCTATTGTTGTTTCTTGCAAAAATATTCCTGGATTGCTCAGCTTTGAGAGAACCTATGAAAATGAAAAATTCCCAATAAACAAAGGGAGATAATTCACTTTATAAAAGAATTCTTTTCTTTGCACCGGCATGTGTAATAAAAAGAAAGACATACAAATTCTTTACTCACTGATAGGTTCTGTTAGCAATACATTTAATTTTCAGACACAAAATGTTAGGAGTCAGTTGACTACCAAAATCTCTGAAATCACATGGTTGAGGAGATAATTTAAAATGCAAACATTTGATACATACCAAAGTTTTCAGTGATATAGCTATTTGGCAACCTCCAAGTGGAATCTACAGAGATAGTCTGGAAAGTCAATGTTAAAAGACTCGTAAAATCATGTCTTCAGATTTTGATGAAAACATAGTTTAGCGAACTTAATTCTAGAAGACAGTAAGCTGGAAAAGCAAGGTTTAAAAGCCAGACCACAGACAGAGAAATACTTCACATAGGCACAATAATCTTCAAGAAATAGATAAATGTATTGGATATTTATTTTTATTTGTAATAATTCTAAGAAGTTATCCCATAACTACAAAATGCCACACAAGCATAGCAGCTTTTATCCAATTGCTATATGTCCTTGGGCATGTTTTTACAATAATAGAAATGTTAGTTTTGCTGTTCACATACAAACCCCAATGTAGCTAATTAAATTTCAGCCTTAATAGGATTCTACTGGAATTAAAGAAAGATACTGCACACATTACTTCCTGCCCTGACCATTTAAGTGTTGCTGACAGCAGTTAAAAAGGCATCACATCCCTTTGGTATGGCATTGCCAGCTTTAAGGAAAACAATGCCAGGCAAACTGGGCAGAGAAGCTGGAAATCCTTCAGGAATGAGATACAACATGAGTGGGTATGTGCGCATACACATGCAGGTAGAAATATATGTTATTAATATTTACCCAAAACTTGTTACAGAGCACATACAACAAATTTTCTTGAAAATAGGTGGCTGTCAGATTAAATTCATAATGTCTCAACCTTGATGAAAATTCTATGTGTGTCAACTGCAGGCTATAAAATCTACTTTTTAAAAAAAAGGTTTACACAAACAAAAATGATAGATTATCCATATTCTACCCTCCCCAGTTCAAATCCAGATCCCTGGGGAGGGTGAGATGAACTGCACCCCCAAATCAAGACATGTATAAGGAAACTGAATTAATGTTAAGTGTTGCAATTGGCATTTTTTTAAAGCAATCAAAGCTGCTGGAATTAGTTTTTCTATCAAGTTTTATCCCTAGCATGAAATTCAGATGCAGAGTTTGGAACCTGGGCAAGGCAGGATTGTATTTTCCAAATATGGCAACAGCCACCTGCCCTTTTAACACTGTGATATGGGCGCTCCTACTTCAAGAAGTCGGGCCGATAATCCATTTTATTAAGTATGGGTGGATAAATGGCAAGGCACAAGGGTTGCTATATGACTTCCAGAGCATGTCATACAGCGCAATACATCTTCTTCTGGGATCACTTTCTTGGGAGTGTGTGTCTTGGGAGCTCTGGCCAACATGTAAAATGACTAGCCAGCCTGAAGCCACCATGCTGAAGATACTGTGTGGAAAAGCTCCATAGAGATGATAGAGATAGAGATACCTGAG